TAGCAGAGAGAGAGTGACAGTGCAGGAAGAGGATGGCTAAGAGAGAGTCAGGTTGCTGCAAAGCAGAATCCAGCAATAAATGCCAGGGAACCTCCGGATGTTCGAGATGGACGCTGCGATGATGAGGTCGACGCCGCGGCTAGACGCCAAGACTTGCGGCGCTGTGGCCGGGCTTATGTTGTTCCGGTGGCTCTGGAGACTGGCGGCAGATGTTGGTGTATCTCAAAGGAGCGTTTCTTTGATGCTACACAAGCCTCATGCACTCGCTTCGCTCGCTTTCGGCTTGCGCCGCCCCCCCTACCGCCCCTGCCCACCCCGCCCACCCCTACCACCCCTATCACCCCTACTGCCCCCGCCCACCCCTACCACCCCCCGCCCCCAACCCCCTGAGATTCTTGGTGGGGTGCACGTGACATCACGTGAGGTCACGTTACTGCGCTTTCTGCTCGATATTTTCCCATATTTCTATAATTAAAGAGAGAGAAGAGAGATAGATGCTGGAGGGGAATCTGCACCACAGTGCATCAAAGACATGTAATTTCTCCCATGTTACTATTCATATCCCGGCCATCACATCCTCAGCTGTTGTTGTCAGTGAGATCACATAGATCATCGGGCGGAATATAGTTTCTCAGATCACATGATATACGTTTTTCCGGCCAGCCTTAACCTTCAAGTTCTTATGGTATTGAAGTCACTGGGGATTGATTACAGGGCCAGCTCGTCCGGCCATTCAGTCCCCCTTGGAGCGAGCCTACGCACTGCCTGGAGGAACTCCTAATTTCCTCTTCGACCGGTGAAGCGTGAAACAATGTCTTTTCTGGCTTTCTGGCAATAGATGGAGGAGGAAGCGCTCCAGCAGCACCGGAACCACCCCAAACACCCCACCATATACGCAGAACTTACCACAAATTTATTTTTGGTTACCTTAATCTGGAGAATTCATGTCTTTCTCCCAACCCTCTTCTTACTTCACGCTCCCACTTGCGCCATGGCAGCAACCGGCGAGCTTCCGCGTTTCCAAGTATGAGCCTCGAAATCGCGGACGGAACCACAAGGATGTCGAGGGGTACTCAGACGACGACGGAACATCCAATGGAAGTGCTAGCGATGGAGAGGCCAGCGCAGGCGAGGGCGAAAATGAGAGTGGCGCACGGTCATCGATGATCTTAACCCCCAACGAAGCACATCAGTATCGCGTGGCTGGCCAGCCGTTTCACAAGGAACTTCCACGTGGGAAATACCCGCACGCGTTACCCCCCTCCGATAAAAAGGGAAGGGTCACTCGAAGGGCTATAGAGACGGAACTATCCCAACTTTCCCCGCCAGTTTTCACCTACCAACCCGCCAGCCAGACCAGCTTGCGGCTACAGCATTTAGCCGTCATCACTACGATTCTCCATCGGTGTCTTCTAGAAGGTGACTACATTAGGGCTGGCAGAGCATGGGGCTTGATATTACGCGATGGGGTTCGCGGACATAATATTGACCCTCGAGCAGGTGGTCGGTGGGGAATTGGCGCGGAAATTCTTTTGCGGAGTGACTCCCACCCTTCAGCGACGGACGCTAGTGCTCGCTCCACGGGAATGGGATACGAGGAGAATCATTATTCCCAGAGGCAATGGTTCACGCGGAGTGGATTCGAGCGTGCTAAGCGTTATTACGAACGGTTAGCACTTGATTATCCCTATCGAAAAGCTGCCCCAGGAGCATTGGGACCCTTGGACTTTTATCCTGCCATGTACGGACTATGGATATCTCTTGTTCAGGAAGAGAGTCAAGCGGCAAGAGAGGCTGCCCTGGAAATCGGGGGCATGGACGATTACGACCCTTCTGCGGATAACATGTCCATATCGAGCGATTTACCACGGCATAACAACCAGAAGAACGATATGATTGCCGAAGCCCGTCAGAAGGAACTAGCAGAGGCCGAGCAGATAGCGGCCGAACTGGATGGATTATTAGTTTCGCCGCCGTACTCTGATAGCTATGAACTGCTACGCCTGCGCGGGATGATTTCCCTATGGATAGGGGATTTGTATGTCTCCTCCGTTTCGCCGGAAGAAAACGATACGAGCATGGGAGGTTTTGGTGACCAGACTATGGCATCTGATGATGACGGCCAGATGAATTCTATTCTGGCACGTATGGAGCACGGATTGGGGATGGAGCGGAAGACTGCAGAGGTTGAGAGGGCGAATGGGTTCTTCGGAAAGGCCAAGGCTAAGGCTAGCAAGAAACAAGTGTCTGTGGCGGATGATGGGGATGATATGATATGATGGACACGTTGTCCTACCATTCAGGAAGACTGGAGAACATACTTGCTATCCATAGGTGTTGGTTGGGTTATAGAGCAGTTTTGGAATAGCTTCGTGTTATGTTGTAGCCATCAAGCGTATATATGTCAAATGTCTGTACTATACTATCAAATACGCTAGGAATAAATGTTTATATATCAAGAATAGCCACATAGCTTTTACTGTGCTGGGTGACAATTAGGTATCATTCCCCATCAAGTTCGATATCACATGACTGCGCGTTGGGGACGTGCACCGGCTCCACTTTTTTCGACGCCTCAACCTCATCCCAAGCTCTGGCGAGCTTCACCATATCAAGAAAAATCCCAGCCATGGAGGGGGGATGCAGTGGCAGCTAAACATACACGTTGATCGTGTTTTCTATTTTCTCACCGGGACTGGAAGGCTATTCTAAATTTCCCGTTTCCTTTCTTCTGTTCAGCACATTCAGAATCATCGAAGAAGCATGGCGCTTGGCGAATACATCCGAGGCAAGGCCTTACAAAATGAACCCCCGGCATTCCAGGGGGTCGGTGAAGTGGCTCCTCGCCCCTTACGGGAGCGAGTGGCTGACATGGCTAGGGTTAAAGTGCCTATTACCAGGTTGAATGGTGGTCATACACCCCAGGGTGGAAGGGGGGTTGACGGACAGGATGACCGGGGACAAGCGGCTGACCAGAGCTCCGGCGGAAACGGGAGCAGATACCAGTCGCAGAGCAATGGCCACCCGAGACATAAAGATGTGTTTGATACAGATGTGGAGGGGATTGATGATTCGACTACGACGGCCACGAGTCTCACCCGTGGGGAAGAAGGGCGGGAGCCGGAGCTTCAGTCGTTTCCGTCGAATCAGTTTGCATCTCGGGATGATGAAGGTGGGGTGTTGGGCAATGCGGGCTATGGACAGGGAGGATCTGTTGCGCCAAATAGTTTGGCTGAGAGGATGGTGATGGAGGTTGGGTCTGATCCGGAGGATGATGGGGATGATATGCAACATCAGAATCATCACCATATGCAGCGGGATGATGGGGGCGAAGCTGAGGATGAGGACGATTATGGTCAGGAAGTTACGCAGATTTTCGACTGGAGCAGTACTAATGCTACGAATGGGGAGCCGCTGAGCTGGCAGAAGATCGAGGCTGCGCTCCGTGACAACGGCAAGCGGCCACCTACCCCTGCCCCTCTTCAGGATCTTCAACAGGAGAATATCGACCCAAACGCCGGTTTACAGCAACTAGAACATGACAGTTACCCGACAAATCAATACCCGCCAAAAGCAACACAGAAATACGCCACCGGCGGCAGGTTCGTCACCAGATCTCGGTTCGCTACCCCCAATATACGCGAAACAACTCCGCATGAGGGTAGATTAGTTGGTGCGCGAGTCGCCCCCCAAACATCGCCCATCCGAACTGCACCACTATCCCCACTGTCCCCTTCTCACCCAGAATCCACAATGGGAGCACAAAGCCACCATCCCAACCCATTACACGCACCCCACGACGAGGATGACGGTTATAACCCAAGCGGCCTCTTCGATATCACCGATCTGAGCGCCATTGACAGCTCGTCCTCCTCGGAAAGCACCAGCATCCAACAAACCTACACCTCCCTCCGCCTCTCTACGCTCTCACCAATCTCCTCCAGACGACCCATCACAGCCATCTCATCCGACTATCCCCCGAATATCCTCGAGACAAAATCTTTCGCAGACCTCCGCGCGGAATCCTTTGACTACAACCCGGCCCCTCCCCAGCCCATCTTCCAGCCTCAGGATCCGCCCCTTCCTCTACCGGAGAAACTCAACCGCCTCAAGGCGCTGACCTCTGACCAACGAGAAAACTTCTTCACCTCTCTAAGTCTAGCGGAGTGGGAAGATAGCGGTGACTGGCTGATCGAGGAGTTTGGCGTACTGCTGAAGAAAACCAAGGAGGCACGCATTGAACGCCGGAAGGTGGCGGCGGTGTTTGAACGGGAGATTGAGAGGAGGTATGAAGGCGTGCAGGCTGAGGGGGAGGGTATTGGGCAGCGGCTGGAGGAGATGAGGACGGGGGGGTTGGGTGTGCTGAAGGGGAGATTGCCGTGAGGGGCATCTCGTTAGGAGAAGGGATGCGAGGATGGATTATGATGTTATGAAATATGCTTTTTATGCTTTTTATGCTGTGTATGGGTAATTTTTCTTACATGTTATATGTTTGGTGGCATGTGTATTGAGTGGAGTTTTCGGATGCTTCCTAGCATGCTACTGAAAAAGGGTCATTGAGATGCGGGCATTGTTATTTTGTCATTTTGCCTTTCTTTTTTTTCGTCATTTATGTTTCTAATGTACTGCATACTTTAGAATCGGCGTTGAGATCTTCAAGTATATGCATTAACTCGCCACATGGATTGATATGGGAATTGATTAATGCGAGAGAGAGAGATTGATCGTGGGGGAAAAATGAAATAATACATCTTTATTATCCCCTTCCCATCTTCTTTCGCTGCTATATTGAACTGCAAACTATTATTAACTTCAATTCCTCATTTTCACCCGTTCGTTTGGTGATCGTTTCGCACCAACCAAAGAAGAAGAAAAAAATTCAATGCCGCAACAAACCCAAAGAATCCCCCACCCCCACCAAAAAAAAAAAAAAAAGCAAGCAAGCAAAAAAGCCAACCAACGCCTACCCCAAAAACACAAAACAAGAAAAAAATATATATCGACCGACGCAGGACTCGAACCTGCAAATCTTCCGCAAGTTAGATTTCCAGTGAACCGGAAACGGACGCGTTACCATTACGCCAGCCGGCCAGGATTGTTGAAGAGCGGAGGGGTGGCGTGGAGTTTGTTCGGGCTTGGATGGGGTGGGGGGCGAAGGACGGGATGCCGAGGTTGGTGACCTATGTATGACCTTCCGTGAACCAACCCCCTGGATGTTTGGTTTACTGTTTATTGGGGGTTTGGGGGTTTGGGGTTCTGGGAGGGGGTTTCGCGTGTTCTTATAATATGATAGGTAATTCGATATCCTTGTATTGTATATTTTGAAACATACTTAGTTATCCATCAGAGCCGGATTCTATATATTTACCTTGTACTCCCAACGGCACCGCATCCGTCTCAATCAACCCCCTTAGAAACCTCGCAATCCCCCTCGCCTCCTCCCTCTGAAGATACGACATGAACAATTCCCTCTCATATCTCATATCACCACCATCACCATCCATCCCTAGCCCTCCAGCCCCGTTTGCCTTCTCCCCCCTTCCAAACCACCGCGCCACAACCCCCATAGCAAACGTAGACAAATGCACCCGGAACACACCAACAGCCGGATGCAAGAAGATGGGAATCACCCCGACCATCCGACGAATATACTGCCGCGGGTCTATCCGCGCACGCACATCCTGATCGTCTGTATCCAGGCCGCCGTGAGGGAGTAGATCGGTAAACACCTCACAGAGCAAAATGCGTGTGGCCCAGTATAGGGCAAACACGTGTGCTAGGGCGAGCTGGTCGAGGGTGATGATGAATTCTGAGTCTTCCTCCTTTTTTGTATCCGTGGCGTTGTTGTCGCGGGCGACGGTTGGATGGCTGGTGTTAGGGGTAGGTATCCCTTCCTCGCGTGGGAGGGGAATGCATTGGTACCATTTGTCCAAGAGATTATCTAGGGCCCAGCAGCTTGTGAGGAGGGAGTGGTGGAGGGAGTTAAATTGGGTCTGGGTTTCACTGTTGCGATGCACGTCGGTTGGTGGGGAGGACAATGCGTTCAAGATGTCGATTTCTTCGTATAAGGTAGGGATATCAACCAAGATATCTAGCAATTTATCCCGGAGCGATTTGGGATGATGTAACCAAGGGATGGTTTTCCACTCGGGGCTGCTTAGCAGAGTCCTTTTTCTCGCGAGGATTGCGGAGACTGTCTGATAGATTGTTAGTCGCCTCCTGACATGGCTTTCGTAAATTATAGGAAGAACAAGGGAAATCATATAACTATATAACTGCCCAGACTCACCAGATGCAGTCTACCATCGACAAAAAGCCGATGAGCATGCCCGGACGCATATTGCAATGGGCTGCGCGCAGTTAGGAGTGCCATCTCACCACCACAATGGGCATGCCAGCTATTCGCCTGTGCATTCCGGTGTCTCTCATCAGCGCCGTGCATGGCCTTGATCAAACCAAATACCAAAGAGCAAAAAGGTCAGCTGTCGAATCCAAAAAGCGCATGTCCTATTACCATCTCACCTATCCACGAATCATTAAAAGCTCACCTCATACAAACTAAAAAGCTTCGATGCCGTTAACAACGCATCCGCCCTACCCTTCCCCCAAACCCTTCCCCTGCCACCCACCGCCAAGGTAGCAGACATATCCTTCAGCGCACCCGTATACATCTCCAACCCCTGCTCGGCCATCCACTTCTGGCCATCCCGCCCCCTCCCGATTGTAGTTAGGGAGATAGCCAGGAGCGCCTTTCGTAGTACATCGTCTGTCAAGTATAGATCCTGAATGGCATTTGTCCAGCTACCCAATGAATTGCGGAGGGTTGGAGGGGAAATGTGTTGGCTGCCGGGGGTGTAGGCGGTCCAGAAGAGGGAGATGTATTTATCCTGGTATGCGGTGCGGGCTAGCGTGGGGGGAAGGGTTATGGTGGGGGTGCCCGTGGATATCGATGTTGATGTTGATGTTGCTGTCGATGTCGATGTTGATATGGATAGTATGGATTGCGCATGTGGCCCTCCTGCCCCCGTGCGAGTTACAGTTGCGTTGACGAAGAGCCGCTGGCGGATGTATCCTGCACATTCGATGCCGGCGGCCTGACATTGGCCGCACGTTGGCCGCTGGAGGTCACACTTTGAGCCTGTTAGAATAGAAATATTCCCGTATATAAGCAGGGATGTGGTTGCTTACCCCTTTTCTGCGTCGTCGGCATGTTTTACACGCCTGGGATCGTCCAGGAACTCCAACCATCGGATTAAAAAACGCCTGGACAGGGGTAGGATTCAGGCACGAATAAATATTTGGACGTGCGGGTGTCTGATGGGAAGAAAAGAAGCTGACGTAAATAAGAAGAGCACTAATATATGAAAAATGCAGTTCCAGCATTAGGTTGTTTTAACCTGCAGCTAAATATGGAGCTGGCCGAGGTTGGGCTGGAGCTGCGGCTGATGAGGGTTCACGAAACAAAAACATGCCGGCAATGAGATAAATGGATGCACAGATATATGATTCCATTGCCGGACAGGTGTAACTTATTAGCAAAATGTCTGCATATCCCTATTGTTTTTGTTTCTGATGAATGGCATTAGGGTTTGTTCTATCCGCTAAACAGGGGCTCGGGAAATTAGACGACGCGTGAAGACATGCTGAGAGTAGGGTCTACAGGGAAGCTGAAATATTCAGGGACAGCCGGGCTGTCATTTGTTCGAGTGGCTTGGGTCGGTATATATGGCCTGGCAGCGATGCTTGTGTTGGACGAGCCTGTGTTTGACAAAGAAGAGATCTAGGATGCGGAGCCATTAGTAACATGCGGAGTTTAAAGAATGGAGCAAATTCTAACCCAAAGAGGGAGCATTTCGCGCCGGCGGGGGTAAGCATAAAGTGTGATGTGATAGGGGGATTGATAGCGCGCCAAATCGCCGCCAATCCAACGTTAATTGAGCGGGCCGAGAAAGCTAGCACATCACTTTCTATCTAGATATGCGCGCAATGCTACCCGAATAGGTTCATCCATAAGTATAATTGTTGTATGCTGACCCCTATTCTTGGTTTGCTGCTGACACCGCTTGCTTGGAGCTATAAAAGCCAGCAATGCACCCCATATATGAAAGCAAGGAAAGGAAAAAGACCAATACTCCAGCCATCACCAGATACCGCGGTGCTGTCTATGGTCATATTATACCCCCCAGCCCTACAGTGCATCGCAGTGCCATTCCATCCAGCACGCATCTGTAACATCCTGCCGCCAACATGCATTTCATAAACCCCATTTCCCTCTCCCTCTCCCTCCTTCTTCTCCCTCTAGTGCATGCCTGCACACCGTCTATCCCCCCAAGCAGCCCAACCGGAGGCCCTGCCCCTCCATTCCCAACCATAATCCCCGGCTCCGATGCTCCCGCCGACTCCGCCACCACCGGCTTCGTCCTCAACCACTTCAGCCTCAACGTCAACAACCTCACGGCAAGCATAGACTTCTACACGCGCGTCTTCGGCATGCGGCTCATCTTCACCTTCCGCGCCACGGAGAAAATGTCCATCTCCTACCTCGCCCACTCCCACGGCGGCAAGAACGGCACCGCCTACCAGACCACCGCCGAGCTGAACCGGAACAAGAATAACATGGAGGGATTGATCGAATTGTTGCATTATGACTATGAGGACCCCAAGGGCGACGATAAGCATCCCGCGACGACGGAGTTGGATAATACGTTTTCGCATGTGGGGATTGTTGTTCCTGATTCAAAAGTGGTGGAGGGGAGGTTGGAGGAGTTTGGGGTGCCGGTTTTGAAGGGGGTTGGTGGGGAGGTCACGGAGCGGGCCAAGGAGGTCGTGGCGAGGGCGTATGGGCTTGGGAAGCTGTGGAAAGAGAAGAGGGAGGAGGCGGAGGAGTTGGTGAAGCTTTTGCTTGGTGCGGTGCCGGGGGTGGATGAATTCGTGTATGCGACTGATCCCGATGGGAATCTTATTGAGGTCCAGCCGCAGGAACTGGAGCAGTTGCCGATTTGATGATAGCGTCGAGCTGAGGTGGAGAGATTGAGGGTATGGAGGGCCGGTGAACCGTGTATAATTAGACTGTGACCTGTCTTGTTGCCCGCTAAATCCTTGGATTGGACAAGGGAAACGAATAGAAGGGGCAAGCATAGGGAAGCAGAAATAATAAATAATCCCGAAAATTTAAGTTTGATGCCCGGCTGATGCAACGCCCCATTTCTCAAAAGCATAGAATACATACATAAATGACATGAAATGGAACAGATAGTTATGACAGAAGAGAAAAGGTACGAGCCAAACAAAAGCAATGCCAAAATCTTGCACGGAATATCAATAACAATGTGTGGGTAGTGATGAAGTTCATTCATTTCGCTTTCAAGTCCGCTATCACTGAACGAAACAGATATATACCAAAGTCATTCCTCCTCCATGGAGAAAAGATATATGTCCAATGCCAAAATGGACAAATGAAAACTGGGGCACCAGGCCGAGGGACGAGGAAATAGTTTGATCCGAGGGGGGAATTCGATATGGTAGAGGTGGATATCGGCACGCTGTGTTGAAAATGGAAAAATGAGTTTAAGGGACTGTTTGTTGGATATGGAATACGGAAGATAGGGTGCTCAGGTGGCTGCGTGCTCGGCAAATATCGAGGCAAGCCGCTTATAGTCCTCGAGAAGTTCCGGAATGTCGCTGAGCCTAAGCTCACCAGAATTTTGCATCTCTACGAATCGTTTGATCGGTGGTTTGAAATCGGTGCTGCTTATATTGTATTTTTGCGGGACTGGGGTACTTGATCGGCTTGATATCGCGTCCGTCGTCTTCGATTTATCCGTGGATATTTGAAGCCCCTGAGAAGGGTCTGGCGGGCTTCGTCCAAGGCCGCGAATCATTCCGGGAATATGATTTAGCGGGTTTAAAGTGTTTCCAAAACTCTTCATTGACCCGAATGGCATGTTTGGGGCAGAAGTAGGAGTGGAATTTTCGGCAGTTGTCGAGAGACCTTTCAATATGGTACCACTGCTCGACACACTATCATCGCTGTGCTGTCTTGAGGTTTTCCGCCCCCCAATAAGCCCGAGAAGCCTATCATCTTGCTTCAC